TAAAAAAGCAACGTTAAACTACTTTATCAACCTTCTCGAAAGTGTTGTAAAAATTTTCTATTTATGACTATAGGATACCATGAACATCAGTAAGTATGGTACTCTTGATCACCAAAAGTAAAGTAGAATTCAAAATCTATGGTAATACGCTAGTGTTTTAACTTTTTTGTAACACAAAAACTGCTTTTAACGGAGGTTAAGCGCAGGCACCAATCGTTTCTAAGATCAAATTGAACTATGTTTATTATAAAAAGTAATAAGCTCTTTTACGTTTTATCTATTTAAAATACATTAGAGCACTTATAGAACACAAGATTAGCCATGATTGGAACACGATCTGTTTTTTTAGCTCATTTATAAATTAGATATGTAAATAATTACTAACAATCTTCATATATAACATTAGTTGATGCGGTGCGAGCACCGAGACATGCAGCATTGAAAACAACAAGATAGGCAAAATTGATTATGAATTACGATAAGAAATATTTTAGTTCAATGTAAAAATCATTAAATGATAGCAGATTCAGAATTTCTAGCTACAATCATCCGGAATAGTATTAACTGAAGACCAATTTATGCTAACAAATGGCTGCTGTGATTTTAAATACGGTTCTAGTCATATGTTGGTTGAACAGTGGTTAGATATTTATTCAATATAGCTTATAAACCACAATGACTCCGTGTAAAAGAGGTCAGAGTTTACTAGGCGAACTCAAGTTTGTTGCTAGCGATCATCCCAAGTCTCAACTTCTCGTAGAAGTCCTACATCGGGCTGGACTTTCGCTGTGATATCGTAAACACTAAATAAAGTGAATCATCAACTTAACTTCTGTCGTAGCATGATTTTTTGTGGATTATAGCACCAACAGCATGAGTATCAATAGTTCCTCTCAGTATTAATACCAGCCAATAGCGCAATTGGCAACAATCGCTTCACTTTTTAGTGTACATATTGATATATTGACATAATAATATTTTTCAGCATCAAGTTTATTACTTTTTATTTATTTTGTAACATTTTCTGTCTTTTCAAAACACTGAACAGGTGCATAGATTTGAATTCTATTGTTTTCAATCGATTTGTCTTCCAAATACTGTGATTTTATTAAACAGCCATTTTACGTGTACTTCAAATTGTTGCATAATCATTTTTATGTATTAAATACTTATACGATTATAAATATCCGGAAATTATACGTATAAATTCAATCAACGTAATCTATAACCTTTGAGTATTATTTAATTGTTGTCTGGAAGGGTAGTTTTGGACTGGTTGAATTCCTAGAAGTAACAGCGTTAATTTGACGCAAGTAATTAGATTTTCATCTGTTTGCCATCAATTACTCAACTAAAGAACTTTATAAAGTCTTAGATAATTGGTTCCAGCTGGATATGTGTTGCCAGTCAGCTTTCTTATAAAACAAAAAGCTATAATAAGCTATTACCGGTCACCACTTTTTATTGTCTATTAATTATGGTATTAAAATAACATTCAATTTATTTGCTCGCATCTATAAAGTGTTAAATGTAATATTTTACGACAGATGATTAAAAATTTGAAATTATATTTTAAATTGGGTTTAATTAAAGCCACGTCGCAATTGTAAAAAATAATAGTGCATAGTGTTCATTTAGAACGCAAGGTCAAGTGTGACAAGCATTAGTTTTACGGCTCGAAAGAAACTGCAAAATCATCAATTTATAGCCATATCATTGTTCTAAAACTTGTGATTAGAAAGTCCGAGCAAGTAAACGTGTGCAAATGTAATAAATGGAGTATATCCCAGCTTGGCTTCATCCGAATATTTTATGTCTTCAATATTGATTTGCAATTTTTATATATCGGTTATGTATTTCATGCATTATTCATTTTGATAAAAAGTCACAAAATCGTGAATATGACGTAGTTGCAAAATAAATTAAAATATTTCTTCCCAAGTGTCAGAAAACAGCTTTGCAACAAGATAACGCAATATAGATCAATAAATCAATTCCTTGAACCACGTATCAAGGAACGATATCTGCACTATCACAAACACTTTTGCTCTACTAGCAGACTACACAAAGACTTAAACGCCTCGTATTTTACGTTAAACACTAAGTTGGAGAATTCTCTTTATTTCACGATATACTGCATTTATATACTATTCCTCAATAGTTCATGAGTCGCAGTTAATACAATTAACCTCGGAATCATTTACTGAATTAGATATTAAGTTTAGCTACTGCTCCCTTAATGCAGACAACAGTATTTACGAATATAGACATGTAATGACTAATACAGAATAGTCAGATTACGATATATCCTATCACGGAACATTTCCACGATAATTTGCAATCTACCATAAGTAAATTACAATCACAATGATTCGAACTGTAAGTAGATGATTTGCATTCCCTATTATAACTATTAATTTCAGTATGTGTATAAGTGTTACTGTCATAAAAAGTTAGTGCTATATTAAAACACAGTATATCCAAATTAGAAGTCAACTAAATAAGGATAGTCTAATAGAATTATCCTAACATAGATATTTCTACTGTAATACAGTATATAACACTGTAACACCAAGAGAACAATTATAGATAGCTGCATAATTTTAGAGATTTGTCTGAGTCCTACCAGGTAGGCTAATACTATATAAATAATAGTATTTGCTCGGTTGTGCATGATATAGAATAAAGGAAACTCATTATAATACACGATACAGTTACGATGGATGAAATGATGCTTGCAAGATTATTTTAAAATGATAAATGCGAAATTAGAATTTAATTTCAGTTTAAGCTAGATACGTAGAGTAAACTTCATAGCCCATACGTGGGCAGTTTATAAGAATAGAAGTTTTGTTAGGATCTAATGAGATCTAATAAAGCAGCATTCAAGTTTCGGTAGTTCTTAGACATATAACTATAAATACAAAAGGCAAAATTTATAACTCGTGACCCCTAAGGTGATATATTTCACGTCTGATTGATCACTATTCAATTAAAAGGAATATAAATTAATTTTCGATCTGCTATTAAAGAAGGCTGGATTAAATAGAAAGTAATGAGATGCCAACAGTAGACTGATACAGACGATATATTACTTTATAACTAACAGATATCTTTCAAAATACTTTCAATCATGTATACGATAGCAGTTCTAGCTAATGACTTCGAAAGAATACATTATAAACCGGTTCACTACTTACAGTATGTTAATGCATAAAAATAGTAGATTCGAGATAATAAAGAAAATGTCAATATTGCAGCTTACAGTATATTGAAATAGACCCTTGAGAAAAAGCTTAAGTTAGCGTACGGTAGAAAATATTCTTCGAGAATAAATTTCACTTATAACTGTTAGAGTTGTATTCCTATCGGATCAATTTTAGCAAGAAAATTTTCTGGTAAATATCTTCTACAGTCTTTTTTACTGAAGAATGAGGCTAGAAAAGATATAAAGCAAAGCCTTGCCAACTCTAGCCTTGTATTGTAAACAATTCTTTGAAAAAAAATCATTTTTTAGTTTATGATGGAAACGCTGCAAAAATAGACTTTCAACTATATACCATATGATAGTTTTTCTTTGTGGTGAAATTTAAAGAGCACCTTAGCATTTGGTGCATCTTACTACAGTTTATTAAAAGGTGATAAAACTAGATCAGATTTAACTAAGTGTGCATGAAAACTGGACTACGTATTAAAAAACTGGCCATTAAACACATCATATTTTAGTTTCGGAATAAAATATACTTTTCAATTACGTTTCTCATTTGCTTATTGTAGGATGGCAATTTTAAGTAATGATTTTAAAAACTACGTTTTTATCCAGTTCGTTTTTTAATGTACGGAGTATAATAGATACAGGAACTCTATTATAACAAGAAGAGAAGATGTTACTGACGTCATATAATTAGCATGTAAGTTCAATTTTGTTAATATTTGGTTATACGCATATACGTGACGAAAGTTATGAATGGGATTGTAAGAATGTTGCTAGAATAAATCAAACCTATAAATATTTTCTAAAGCATGTTTATTATATAAAATAGTAGATTCATCAAATCTCGGAATTATTTAATGTCATAACTGATATCGTCTTTTCATAACCTAGTATCTCTGTTGGTGGCCTTGAAAAGAAATAGAGACTCTAGAATATACAAGGGTATAAAATGCTTCCAAAAAGTACTTATATCAACGAAAATCAGATTTATTACTTAAATTCTTTAGCCAATATATTTATATTTAATAATGTTCTAGTTAGATAGTGTTTTGATTTCTATCGTTTCACAGCATTATTCTTTGTTGATATCATAAGAAAGACAAAAGGAACATTGCATTCTAAGTTATTGTTACACAGGCAATTTAATCTGGTAATTTTGTGTTTAGTTAAATAAATAGACTAATGAACGTATTAAATCGATTGAATTTATTTAAAGGTATACAATAATGCGTTCAAAAATTTATCTTTCCGGCTTCAATTTAATGAAATTTAAGAACACTACGTCTACTATACATTTCAGTAACTGCTTTAGCTTACATCATAATTAAAGCAATTTATATTAGTACTAAGAAATAATCTAATACACTTTTAATTTATTTTATTATCCAAGTATATTTCGTTGTCTCATCCAAATACTCCAAGGAAATTAGCTGTTAAGAAAAGACTAGCAAATAAATAACTGATTTATGCAAAAAGAATTTTTCCATTACGCTATCTTAAAAGGTGTAACTGAATCAATTAAACTGTCATTATAAGGCTGAATTGTAATAGAAAGCCATCACAAACTATTGCAACTAATTTTAGCAGTCGAATATTGGGAAATTCTTTCTTGTGCTGTTTTTTATTTCACTGGAAAATTTATTTGACTTACGAGGTCCATTTTTTTTTAAATCGGATTGATAATATTTATTTTGCTATGCCGGCCGTTTTTAACAGTCGTGATTTACGATCAGCTAATTTATCTCAAAATGACAGTCAAAATATTCTGGAATTTTATAATTTTCACGTTAGTGTTTTTACCACACTTGGTATTATTGGATTATTTACTAACATTTTAGTAATTAAGATTGTCTATCGAAACTCTAAATTAAAAAATACACCTAGTTTTTTGATACTTCATTTAGCCATAGCCGATATTCTATCTTCTGGCCAACCTATCGTCATTGGATTTGCTTTAATGTATTTAGCACCACTTAACTGGCCGCATCAATCGATCATGATGATATGTCGACTTGCCTTTTATTGGTGGCTAGTGGGTTATTCTCTATCTGCTGCCATGCTAACACTGATTAGTATCGAACGCTATCGAGCAATTATCCAGCCAATTAAATTACGACTAGCTGGTAGACGGTTAAATTATATTATTCTAAGTTTATGGATAGCTTGCTTTATTATCTCATTGCCTATCACATTATTAGCCGATGTGGATCCAATCTATTACTTTGATTGTCAAGTAGAAGTAGATCTATATCCTACCTTTGCGGACATTTATTTTACTATCATTACCGTTGCGGTGTATTTTTTGCCATTAGTAATTATAAGTATTTGCTATACTTGTATAATACGAAAATTTAGGCGAGATACAAAAATAGCTCTTCAGCTTAATCGGAAATTAACAGTGAATCAATTACTGAAGAAGAAAATTATGCGAATGCTGATTCTAGTAACGGCTAATTTTATGTTGTCATCCTTACCTTGGATTGTAAGCCTAGTGGTTATTGCCTATAACGACATCAGTCCTAATGATTTCTATCACAGCGAAAATAATCTTTTAGCTGCGGCTGCAATCATCATCAAGGTTTTATTCTCTTTATTGCCTGTTACAAACTCACTAATCTATTTCTTGACTAATCCAACAATTCATCAAGAATTAAAGCGTTGGTTTACGAAGCGTAAGATAGTATTTGTTCGTCCTGTTTAACTAAAATCTTCATATATCGAACCGATTCTAATGACAACTTGGAATGGAAAGAGATTTTCGTTTTGTTCACAATTCGTCCATTTTATTATTATTCTAAATTAGTGGGCAAATTTTTAGTAGGAATATAAATGTACCCTTGGTTAATCTATTCACATAATACCGGGCAAAGGAAGAGCAAGTGGTCTATTGATGAATGATCCATTTTTTGATTATTCTAAATTAACGGATAAATCTTAGTAGCAATATGAGTATGTCCTGTGATCTTTATTATTTCAAGTCTGTTCAACAGTACAACAAATTGGATAATTCATCAGTGATACTCTTATATTAGCCTGCAATGTAAACTTGTATACCTTCTCGTTCTACTCGTATTCGAATCTCCACTTGTCATGTATAACATGCATGAGCATATTTTGGATTAGAAGTTTATGCTTTGGCTTACAAAATCATTATACAGCATTATTTCTTTCATTTTATATAATCTTTTTTCTTAAAGGTAGTCTATACTCCCAATACTAAAGCATTACAGTATATGCAAGCATTAAGCATTACGTACCTACTCGTATATTGTTTCAACTTATTACATTCTCATTTAGTAAAGCATAAATTGAAAGAAAGTTTCATCCAATCCTTTCTGCTAATTAGTCAACGGCAGTGTTTTAGATAAGTACGGAATAGTAGATTTTAAATTAAACTATCGGAATCCAATACGAATGATTTTGCTTAGCCGTTGTTAAAATATTTTAGAATTTCTCTACTGTTTGTCTACTGGTCTATTCGTTGTGCTCGTTACATTCTACGCTACATATCTACGTAAAAATTTCTATCAATTTACTTTATTCCCCATTTATAAAATTTCATTATGTTGATTGCGTTGATATCTCACTATCTCATCTTGTAGTTAGTTAAGGACAAAGCTACGACTAATTCTATTACACATTGTTCATTAATAAAATTGATTCAGTTTACCTGAATAATCACATGTTTTAACTGATCATATTTAGACATGTTAATGATCTCATGCTCTTAATTCATTTACAAGTAAAGATAAATTTTGAGTAATTGTCTGTTACGTAAATATCTATCATAATTATTACCGTATCATCAAGGAGATTGGATATTTCGTGATTATATTTAACATTATTAGCAATATAAGTCGGTTTAGACACTTTTAAGCTATTAAAGTATACGTTATATACGATAAGAAGTTAAATGAATAATTTAAAAGGATACGAATACGTATAGGTATTGTTTGCATCCCAAGCAAATGAAATAGAAACATAAACCTGTATACCCAGATTAAGTTTACAAATCTGAATAAAAATCTGATAAAAATGAAGACTTTCAGTCATACAAAAAGCCTCCCAAATTGCAATGCTAGATTTTCTAACCATGCACATGCATGGAGCAGACATAATTTTCTGTCAAAAAAAATTGAAGCCACATCAATGAAATATGAAGAATTTAAAGACAAAGCTTTATATAGAAATCCGAAGAAAATATTAAAAAGGGATCAATTTGAATTTTTTACTATTAAAGAATTTTAAAGAAGGTATGATTACCGAAACCGAATAACTTCATTTACGAAAGCAAGTACAGCAAAGATCAAAAAGCCATATTACCAATGATCATATGGATAAACAGTTTCTATTTTTTGATCAATCTACCCCTGTTTACTCTTAAACATATACGAATAAGCTAATGTGAATATATCTAAGTGTGAGCAAACTAAAATATATCGCAGTATCATATTCAGTTTAATAAACTTGTCTAGATTCAAAAGCTAGTTATAGGCTTAGATATTATCAGTTTTTTCTTACTAATTTAGATGCATTCAAGTCTACAAACTCAAATTCCGTGAAGAGGCAATGAAGAACCATTATTTTTTTGCAACGACTCCTTCCTGGCATGTAAGCGTTTCCTATACATCGTATCCGTAAGATAAAACGGAGTCATAAGATAACTTTGCTTTTAGATTTAATTGAAGCAAAGGATGTAAGCTGAGATCGCATATTGAAGTTTTGGTAACTTTACTTCATTTGCCTATGCAATAATTAAATTAAATTCATCGATCTAAATAAAATCCTCAAATTTCGCTTTTTATGTCTTTACACTGTTAAAAAACCTGTACTGACTCTTTTAAGGGTCTCAAAGCGATATTTTAGGAATTTTTAATACGCAATTCTCATTGTTTTTTTAATTTTATTAAATACGAAACTACCAATATCTATATAAAATATCTGTGTCAATTTATGTTTTGGTAGAATAATGGTAAAGTCGATTGAATTTTGTATAATTACATAAATGTGGATGAAATGCGTCTCACAATCATAGTTCTATAGTACAATGACATAAACGAATATCGACATCGAAGGATAATAAATCAACGACTAGATTTGACAATAGTCTAGATGTCTAAGATGGCAATATTTCATCTCCATGGTTCTGCCATAAGCCCAAAAATTTTTTCTTGGAACTGCCATTGTGAATAAATAACCCTATCATAATCATATTTTAATTATGACCGAAATATGATTGTTGTGTAACGACAGTTACCATTTTTTATTAATGCCTGATATATTTCTATCAGTAAGACTGGTCGTGATTATGTTGAACTTATCAAGAGTGATTTCTCGTATAAGTTTTTTCCAATTAAATTATCCTACATTTACGATCAATTAATATAATTATAATTAATCCAACTGAAATAAAATTTGATACTCTATATCGTCCTTGTATTCAGCTAAAAACAGTATTCTGCAACGGTTAACTCAACGAAACTAATGATTATGCGTACTTAAATGTTCTTAAAACTAAACATTTTAAAAATGACCTAATGTAATGGAGATATTTTGGGAATAGTGAAGAAAAGTTGTAATAAAAATCGGTAATTAGTACCAAGATTCAAGAACTTGCAATCAATTAACTTTGCTATTTAAACTAAGAGCCATTACTTATAACGCCATCATTGATATAATTAAGACTAGTATTTGATTCGATTTAAATTTACCAAAACCTCTTTTACGCTGATGATGCTGTGCAAAATTAATATTTGCATTACATATAGTTATTGTAGGCTTAATTCTATCTTTTGCTATGCAAGACTATAAATTAATTATTAAGTAAGGAAAACTCATGCTATCATAACATAGCCGCATTATTATTTCGGTAACTTTTAATTCAATGATTATCATTGATTGCCCCGTTATTAACGAACAGTGTTTTTAAGAATAACTCGACAAAATTATCTAAAATTTTGTATCTGTTCATTATAAGCTTTACTGATGTAATGTAACTTAGTATTGTGATTGTAGACTGTTAGCCATGTGTAGTATAATGTACGGTAGATATTTATCCTAAGAGATATTTGGTAGCTGTAACTATAGACTGTAGTGGTAGAGACTCTATGCTAGAGTACAGATGACTATATACAGTAAGCTGTTGAGTTACTAATATGGCTATAGGTAGAAATAGAACTGTAAATCATATATTAGGATATGGTTAATTCATTGTACTTTGGCTGGTGTGAATAATGTCTACGTAAGTACTGTAGTCGTATCCATATTGGATTAATGATGGTCCGCAGTAGAATAGTCTTACTAAGAATAATTTAACTATCTGTAAAATAAGGTAAAAGGTTGCCATGCGGATTGTAGCTGCGAATGCTACGAAAAGTATAAAAGCATGCAACTTTAGATTATTCTGTTAGTTCGTTGTAGAAGTCTTTAGAAGTAGTATTCGGCTAGAGTAGAGCTGTGTAGTTAATCTTTGTATAAGATTCAATAAAGCCCTTATTTTTCTAAAATTTGGAATTTCGTGATTGGTATATATCACAACTGAATAGATACCGCTTAGGTTCTTAGTTCTATAGCTTTAATAAATGGTAACAAGCGATGTCATAATCAAACTGACGTGACAGAACGAAAAACGTCCGGATTTTCTAATTGAAAAATTTACTTGTCATAGAAAAGTTCACTTCACAATTAATACGCTAGATGCAATCTAAATTTATAAACAAGATTAATTATCAATGTCTGAAAGGCTAAAAAAGAATAGGAATCATAATATTTGGTAGGCTAATTTAAAAGTGCATATTATTTAATTAAGAATTATAGAATTTAGTATATATTTTAACTCAATTTCGCGTAATCACAGACATTACTGATTAAACAGAAAGCAGAATTATCATAATTATTAATAGGTGATTTTTGCATAAAAAGTCGAGTTTAATTTTCTTATAATCCGTAATCTAGTATTTTTAATTATCTAACAATTTCCAGAGAAAAGAATAAAATAATCGAAAGGATTATGCAGCTTTTTTGCATATTCATGTTTTTAAATTTTGTCTAGGCTATTCAGTATTTAATCATTCCAAGTTTTGAAAAGCCCGGTTTGATGTTACCAAAGTCCATAATTTCGTCCTGTACTGAAATCGAATAACAATCCATTTAAAAATTCATGGTACCCACCCTTTGCTTTCGCTTTAGATTTAGTAATTTTAACCTCTACGATCAACATACTCTACTGAATAGAATGGATTGTTTTCAAGGTATCTACTTCATCAAAGTTCGTTATGACCGTGTAATCACGTATTGTATTATAAATTTTGTAATTGTTTCAGAATAACTTATCTGCATATCAAATTTATTGCAAATTGACGTTTTTTA